GGGCCGGAGGAAATATTGTTGGGTGGTTACCTCCCTCCGTTTTCCCTCCCACCCACCCCTTGCATGCATCCCGTTTCGGTACAGTGCCACGTCAGTAGTGCCAGATCAGCAGTGCCACGTCAGCAGTGCCAAGTCACAGTGCCACATCAGCAGTGCCACATCACAGTGCCAGAACAGCAGTGCCAGAACAGCAGTGCCATGTCAGACACAGTGCCACGTCAGCAGTGACGTCCGACACAGTGCCACGTCAGCAGTACCACGTCAGACACAGTGCCACGTCAGCAGTGACCTGCCACCATGACAGGCTCACTTCTGGGCATGACAGGCCAACTGGCAAATGAATCCATTGCCGAATACCGACAGCGGTTCGAAGCTCAGCTCGCACTAATCGCGGCTGAGGAGCAACGTCAGCTGGCAGCCAAGGCTGCCCAGCTACAGGCTGACGAAGCGGCAGCAGCAGAGAAGCTGCGGCTACTGGCCGAAGCAGACGCAGATACCCAGGCTCCCCGCAAGGAAGCCCAGGATATGCTGCAGCGGCATGAAGCCACCAGCATCGACAGACTCAAGTTCTGGCACTTTCAACCGAACGGCGACAATCCAACACCGGAAGAGAAGCACAAGGAGTTCCTCTCCAAACTCGTRATGCGGTTGCTGTATGCTTGCAACTACCAACGGTCAGAGTTGGAGAGACAGTACCAGGACCTGACGCAACAGCATCAGGAGTTGGCGACGGTCCGCCGCACAGTGCAGAGCCACGAGGATGCAACTCGGGTACTCAATGCCCGATTGCTGGACCTGGAACAGGCTGTACCAGGACCAACTGCTGGGGCTTCCAGCAGTGCACCCTCTAGCCGCCAACTGGAGGAACGCGTTGACCACATCCTGGCAATGCTCGACGACATTGACACCTTCGCTGCGCCGTCCACCATCAGCACTCAGCTGCATACCTTGAAGACCGAGGTCCAACAGCTGCAGTCGACGAACGCAGATGGCAATCAGAAGATGCCAACTTTCCAACTAGAAAAGTTCGACGACTACACGCAGCAGGATCCGACCCTCTGGTGGGAGGCATTCACGACGCAACTCAGGATTCTGCCTGTCGCTAAGCACAAGTACATCGGCGCCCTGTTCCTTAACTCAAAGGGCGGATGCCAGACCTGGTTGACCCACCTGGCAACCTCCCACGGTGTCGACGTACCGGACCTCAAGGACAAGATCACAAGGGAAGAACTGACACGGTTGTGGAAGAAGCGGTTCTTCGTCGACGACGCGCCAGCACTCGCCATCAACCGACTGTTCGCCATGTCACAGGGCAACACAGCAACACGAGACTGGCTCACAGAGTGGCAGAAGATTGCGGTTGTGCCCAATCTGAACTTACCATTCGAGCATCTACGCCGTGAGTTCTACAACAGGTCCAGTGCTGCATTGAGTCAGGCTCTTGGTGATCGCGAGTAGTACTCAACCTTTGCTGAGATTATTGACAAAGCAAGGAAGATCATCAAGACCAACAGGTCAGCTGCACACGAGAAATCAACATGGCAGCCGACCTATGTGGAGAAGGTACGAACTGGTCCGCGATAGCAGCACTTCGCTGCAGTCCAGCAGGACAGTGGAGATAACCCAGCAGCCACTCCAGCATCAAGTGACGGAGATCAGGTGACTGTTGTCCAGCCGCGAAGCACCAACAAGTCCCGCAACAATGGGAAGGCGAAATCCGCATCGCACGCCGAAAATGAACAGCCAGGACAGTTTCCATGGGTCAAGTTTGGCTTGACCGAGGCGGAGTACAAGGTCCGCGGCCGCTACGATAGTTGCTATTGGTGCAACAGCACCAAACACAAGATCTCCCTGTGCCAAGATCAGGGCAAGGAGGATGTGCGACCCCGCCTCAGCTCGGGAAACTGAGCTCCGCGGAAGGTGAGGCGACTCCACCTTCTACTCCGCCAGATTCGGCCGCCTTGCTAGCGGCCTCCTGCACATTTGGGGAGGATGTGAATGTCGCAAATCCTCGGTATACTTACAAGGATTATGCTGTTCACTTGGTTCCACCGTTGGACCAACCGCTCCACGTGCAACAGTCCACCGCATGCACGGTTTCATCACCATCGGCAACCGATTCGGCAGCTTCGCCACAACCTATCGCCGGGGATTCGACGTCATGGTCAAGACTTGAAGAGCTCGACCCATTGACCTTCACGGACTTCCAGTGGATGCCCGTTCCCTCGACCGGACGATTGCCGAAACCGCATTGCAACGTGCTTATGGCACAATTGCAGGACTACTTGCACACTCCAGTACCAGCTCCGTTGATGGACGTCAGAGTAGAGGTTGTCGATCTTCTCGCGTATATCGCGAAGATCGACCGCGAGTTCAAGACGCAACGGTACGACGACATCGACGCACCATTGCTATACGTACGCATTCAGATCGGAGAGGCGACCTGCAGTGCCTTGATCGATTGCGGAGCATCTCGCAACTACATCAGCCAGGACTTCATGGTACGCGCCGGCCTTGGCCCACGTGTCCGGAGGAAGTCCCGGCCTACGCAAGTCACTCTGGCAGACGGTCATACGCACAAGTCCATCAACCGGTGCATTGATGACGTCCCAGTGTACTTTGCCCCTCACGCAAGTGAGGCAGTGTCCTTTGACATTCTGGACACCAAATTCGACATAATCTTGGGCATGTCATGGCTGCGAAGCAAGGATCACCCGGTGAACTTCTTCAACCACACCGTTCACGTTCGTGATCGGAACACAGTATTAGTTCCATGCACGGTGCCTCTTCCTCACCCTTCGATCAGCTGCCACGCGGTATCCGCCGCAAGCATGCGAGCTTCCATCATTAGAGACGACATCGAGGAGATGGGGGTGTGTTTTCTCCACGCCCTCCTGCCACATGACGCTTCATCGACGGACTCACCTTCGGATCCACACATCACCGAACTTCTTGACGCCTACATCGACGTGTTCGAACGCCCGCATGGAGTAGTACCGGATCGACCCATCCGCCACGAGATCATTCTTGAGGACGGGGCCGTACCTCCGCGCGATTGCATCTACCGAATAAGCGAGGAAGAGTTAAGTGTGCTTCGGGCACAACTCGACGACCTTCTGGAGAAAGGCTGGATTCGGCCTAGCTCATCGCCATACGGTGCTCCTGTTCTCTTCGTCCGGAAGAAGAACAAGGACTTGCGGTTGTGCATCGATTATCGCAAGCTCAACGCGCAGACGATCAGGAACACCGGCCCTCTCCCACGCATCGACGACCTTCTCGAGCGATTGGGCGGCGCCCAGTTCTTCTCCAAGCTGGATCTCAAGTCAGGRTACCACCAACTCGAGATTCGCAAGGAGGACCGTTACAAGACCGCATTCAAGACACGGTATGGGCATTTCGAATGGYTGGTTATGCCATTTGGCCTTACGAATGCCCCGGCCACTTTCCAAGCGGCTATGACAACGGAGTTCCGACACATGCTGGATCGATACGTACTTATCTATCTCGACGAGATCCTGATATACAGCCGAAGTTTGGAGGAGCATGTGGAACACCTGCACACCGTTTTGGAGCGGCTACGACAGGCCAAGTACAAAGCCAACCGCGACAAGTGTGAATTCGCGCGGCAGGAGCTGGAGTACTTGGGCCATTATGTGACGCCGCAAGGCATCCGTCCGCTCGCGGACAAGATCGAGGCCCTACGAGTACGGCCCGGGCCCACCAACACCACAGACGTTCGTTCATTCATGGGATTGGCGGGCTACTATCAGCGATTCATCACCAGATACTCCAGGATTGTTGTACCTATGACAAGGTTACAGTCGCCAAAGGTGCCATTCGTATTCGATGACGACGCATGCTGGTCATTCCAAGCACTTAAGACGGCCATGCTCATGACACCCGTCCTCAGCATCTATGACCCCACCTTGCCGACGAGAGTAACTACGGACGCTTCCGGCTATGGCATTGGGGCAGTCTTGGAACAGCACGACGGCTACGACTGGGACCCTGTGGAGTATTTCAGCCACAAAGTGCCTCCCATCAACTCGCTGGATGATGCAAGAAAGAAGGAGCTACTCGCGTTCGTCATGGCTCTCAAGCGATGGCGACACTTCCTCCTTGGGCGTCGTAGGTTCACATGGGTTATGGACAACAATCCATTGACCTACTACAAGACGTAGGATGCGGTGAGCAGCACGATCGGACGATGGATGTACTTCATCGACCAGTTTGACTTCACACCGAAACATCTACCCGACCTCTCAAATCGAGCAGCAGATGCACTCTTGCGAAGACCAGATGTTTGCGCTATGACACATCATGCCTTCGCATTCGACGAGGAGCTTCAACGACACTTCATCCGGGCATATGAGTCTGATCCGAACTTCGGCACGCTCTATGCACAGCTATCTTCGGATCACCCGCCGGCCAGCCATTACCGCATTGCCGACGGGTACTTGCTCCTCCACTTGAGAGGCAAGGACTTACTATGTGTCCCACACGACCGTCGTCTTCGGACTCGCCTCCTCGGCGAGTATCACGATTCACGACTCGCCGGCCATTTCGGAGTCAACCGCACTATTGCACGGCTTCGACAGCGATTCCGATGGCCCGACCTCATTACCGATGTCACTCGGTATTGCGACTCTTGCGAAGTTTGCCGACGCAGCAAGCCCCGCAACCGCAATCCCTACGGCGAGTTACACCCGATGCCTATCCCACGGGAACCCGGTCTCTCCATTGCCATGGACGTCACCGGTCCGTTTCCTCGCGACCGGCTCGGGCACGACGGCATCCTCACGGTTGTGGACCGATTGAGTAAGTACGCGCGTTTTCTCCCTTGCAAGTACTACTCCACGGCTCCCGAGCTGGCACGCCTCCTGCACACTGGTTGGATTTGTGGCCACGGTGTACCAGAAGACATTGTCAGCGACCGCGACACTCGTTTCATGTCGGCGTTTTGGACTGCTCTCATGCAGAAGTCCGACACAACAATGAAACCAAGTTCAGCTCGACATCCTCAGACAGACGGGCAGACGGAGCAGGCACATCAAACCGCTCAAATGATGCTTCGTACGCTCATTCATCCGAACCAGAAAGATTGGGTTGACCGCCTCCCCGATATCGAGTTCGCCTACAACAGTTCAGTGCACCCGGCAATCGGCATGACTCCATTCGAGTTGCACCACAGTGGACAGAAAGGCCGCATCTTCGCTGACCTTCTCCTCCCTCGACCAGTCGACATTGACGCCGCTTGCTCCCCCGCTTCCATTCGGAAGTACAGGGACTTGCTGAGTCAAGCCCGCACAAATATGCAAAAGACTCAAGTTCGCATGCAGCAGCAAGCCAACAGGCGTCGCGTACCATGTCCCATCCGCGCCGGTGATCTGGTTTGGGTCTCCGCGGAAGAGTTTNAGACTCAAGTTCGCATGCAGCAGCAAGCCAACAGGCGTCGCGTACCATGTCCCATCCGCGCCGGTGATCTGGTTTGGGTCTCCGCGGAAGAGTTTGCACTGGAACAGGACGTTTCACGCAAACTGCTTCCCAAGTGGTTTGGACCTTGGTCTGTGACAGCAGCCGCGGGCGATGAGCCCGATGGCCCTTCATTTGTGATCAACATTCCAAAGCATCTGACGGTCCATCCGGTCTTCCACGCCTTGAAGCTGGCAACATACACGCCAACCAAGAGCGACGACTTTCCGAGCTGACGATCGTAGGACCCTCCTTCTATGGATGGCCATCAGGAAGTTGACCGCGTTATCACCGATCGCAAGTACGGCAGCAAGCCGCGGCAGTACAAAGTCACATTCAAAGCATGCGATCGCGACGACACTCGGTGGATTTCAGGAGCAGATTTGAAAGCATCCGTACCGCTGATCTACGCTCGCTATGAGCGTCAAAGGTTAGCCAAGGGACCTCCACGACCTGCCCCTGCCACCCGGACTGTGGTCCCTCCCTCAAACAGACAGCTTCGCCCTCGCAGGTAAGCTCGGTCTTTCAAGGAGGGGGGGGTGTGGCATACTGCGTAGCCACACGGGCCCTGTAGGACCCGTCCCGGACATTCAGCCTAAAAGCCTAAAACTTAGGATCTACAGGCCCCGGTCGTTTCAGCCTGAAAACTGAAAAACGAGGGCCTGCAGGCCCTACTCCGTTTCAGCCTATTTCTGGGTCAGACCCAGAGTTTTTCCAGCCTGAAACGGAGGGCTATTCTTAGGCCCTGGGCTATTTCTAGGCCCTCATTTGTTTCGACCTGCCCTAAGATTCAGGCACGAAAACTGGGTTTCGGAATAGGCTATTTGTGGCCTGTTCCCAAGTCAGCTCGATCAGGAGCTGCAGCTGCAGCCCCTTCCTCCCTGCGGCATTATAGGCAAGAGCACGACCAGGAGATGCAGCTGCAGCCCCTGCCTCCCTTCGGCATTATTGGCAAGAGCACGAG